TATAAGGATACAGATGCAATGAGCATAAGATAGGTAGTATGATTATTAATATCAAACAAAACAAAAATCAAGTAAAGGTTACCTTTAACTTATATTAAAGAGGGACATTTTATAATGATAAAAATACCAATTCATCCCAGAAGACAAAACAATCACAAATGTGTATGCTCCTAATAACAGAGCTTCAGAACATATGAAAACAAAATAAAAATAACTAAAATGAGAAACAGAAAAGATCCACAATAACTGATGATTTGAACACCCCCTCTCAGTAATTAATGAAAAGTAGACCAAAAAACCCAATGAGGATATAGAGGACTTGAACTTCCCTGGCCCGACGTTTACACAACACAAAACTCAACAATTCCATAATATACGATCTTTTCAAGTGCACGTGACACAGTCATCGAGGTACACCAAAGGCTGAGCCGTGAGTACGTTCCAGTTGTCAGGGGTAGAATCTTACAGAGTGTACCTTCTGATAAGATATCTAGAAAAGCTCCATATATTGGAAATTAAACACCACACTGCTAAGTATGAAAACACAGCAGCATCAAAATTTGTAGGCTGTAGCTAAAGAAACGCTTGAGGGGGATTTCATTAACTTCTTACATTTAAAAAGAACAGAGATATAAAATACGTGATCTAAGTTTCTACTTCAAGAAGCTGGGGAAAGAGCAAGTTAAGCCCCAAGTAGGAGAAGGAAGGAAACGAAGAGAACCTAAATAGAGCTACGCCGTGCTCATGAGCAGAAGACTCAGTACTGTTTAAATATCACTTCTCTCCAAATCAACCTATAGACTGAACACGATCCCAGTTAAAATCTCAACAGGCTTTTTTTTTTTTGGCAAAAACTGACAAGTTGATTCTAAAATTGATACGGCTATTTTAGGACAGCCAGATAATCTTGAAGAGCAAACCCAGAGGACTTAGACTCCCTGACTTCAATACACAGCCACCACAGCCAAGAGAGTACGGCAGTGTCATAAGGCTGGACAAAGAGATGAATGAACAGAAGAGTCAGTCTGGAAATAGACGCACTCATCTGCGGTCAAGTCATTTCGAACAAAGATGCCAAAGCCATTCAATGGAGAAAAGCAAAGTCTTCGATCAATGGCGCAGCAATCAATGGTGCAGTGTCCTGGGAAACGAAACTGCTGAAACAAAACGAGGCCCGACCCCACCATTCCAGTGCTGGTGGCCCGGGGAAGCAGGCACCTAACGGCCAGGGCCTCCAACTGTCCCGCCGCGGTGGGAAGCCTCCTAACAGGAAGGACTATAAGCACTCAGCTCAACACATCTCAGGTCTTCGTTTACCTCGATGTTTTCCAGAAAAAAAAAAAAATTTCCCAAACCTCCCAGGGCCATCTACTATGACCCTAATTCCTCCCCCACGTGCTCTGCTCATCCCACCGCTTGACCCAACATCCCGCCCTTCCCTCTCCTCCGCCGTCCGCTGGACGCTCTGTCGCTGCTCAGACAGTCGCCACTCACTCCTGCAAGTCCAGGAACTCGGGCTCTGCACGTGGGGGCACTGACTTCTGGCCCCCCCCACCCCGTGCCGCCTCCCGACACTTCTCTCCCCCTCCTGGGGAGCACTGACCCCCCCTGTGGGGGGTGCGCTTGCTGGTGTCACTGCCCTCTGACCCCTTCATCTGTTCTGGCCACTCCCCCTCATTCACCAGGGGAAGGTCAGGGGTGCCCTTTCCTGGCCCCTCCTCATCTGTGCACCTAAGTGCTGGCCGTCCTCTCTCCTCGCTCCAGCCTTCCTTTAGGGCACGTTTCTCAGCCACGGCAATACTGGCATTTGGGGCTGAATGGTTCTTTGCTGGGAGGAGGGGCTGCCCCCCCGCCATTGTAGGATGCACAGCAGCACCCAGCCTCTGCCCCAGTAGACCACCACTGCCATAGGACACGGCAGTCCCCTGGCCTCAGAGACCTCCCCTTAGGTGTCCAGTCCCTCACGTGACATCTCTGAGAAGTTTTACCAGCATGCCAATCGCGGCCTGTCCCCCAGTGGATTTTTGTTTTGAAACTGACTTTCCTCTGCTCAACTATTAACACAAACCGGTCACACTGGCAGAGATCCCGGCCTATTCAGAGCTCAAACATGTCACGCCCCACAGACTCTGACCTTCAGCTAGAACAAACTGAAAACAGACAAAAAAACCCCTGCCACGAACAGAAGGCAATTTAAAAGTCCATGAACGTAGTCCTGGCCAGTGTGGCTTCGCTGGTTGGGCGTCGTTCCGTAAACCAAAAGGTCACCAGTTCGATTCCTGGTCAGGGCACACGCCTGGGTTGTGGGGTCAGTCGCCAGCTGAGGTGTGTACAAAGGGCAACCAATCGATGTTTCTCTCCCTCTCTTTCTCCCTCCCTTTCCCTCTCCCTAAAAATAAATGAACAAAATCTTTTTCTTTAAAAAAAGGCCATGAATGTACTTCAAAATATGACTTTGTTTAGGATATCCAGTTTTGGGGGGTATCTTCCTTCAAAAGAGGCATTTTCAAGAAAATACCCGTATACTTACTACCAAACAGTGAAGTTTCCTTTTGAGTTTCTAACTTAATTTATTATAGAATCTCACCCCTTTGTGGAATCAAGTATGTAAAAGGGCTTGAATTCCGCCCATATGTTTCGGACGGATACCTTGCTAAGCAGGATATATGATCGATCGGGTTTCAAGGAAAAAACTAGTCCAGGAAGTCTATATGGTCCAGCTCGTTGCCCCATGCGCGGCCTCCAGGAGCGCGGCCCGTGTCGGGGCCCCGGGCGCTGCCCTCACGGATACACCGATGCCGCCGATGCCAACACCAACCCACTGTCAACACGGCCGGCGTGAGCTCACTGGAACGCAGACAAAAATGGTCTAGCATCTCGACAGCGAGGGGTACGGCCTCATGGACAGTTCCCCCCCGAGTCACAAAGGTGCAAAGAGATACTTGTTTTACACTTGAAAATGAAAACGAGAGGTATGAGGCCGATTGGAAAAGTGTTTTTGTTGTTGTCCTGAAGAGGCTATCATGAAAGTTAACTAATGTCAAGGATGGAGAAAGAGAAAGTCAGAAAACATTTTTGTCCCATCTTGCCTTGCTCAGAAATCGTTCCTCTGTACAATGAGTGGGGTTTTTTTTCCTGTTTTTAAGGCCCTACCACCAACCTTACTGCTCAGGGGGCAGAGATCTTCAGAGAAATAAAAACGAAAGCCTTTTCAGCGGCAGGGCTAGTCCGTGGCTCCCGAGCTGGGATCGCAGCATGAGTCGTGGGGCCGGGACTCGGCACTCAGCCGCCCCTCCCAACACGACAGAGTCCCGACGAGGCACTCCCTCCCTCCCACCTACTCGTCAGAGCTGAACACAGCGGGTGTGAGCATGAACACTCACCGGTTCCCTCCACACGCCACCCGCCACGCTCCCGTTCCGGAGGCTGACCTATCTCCCCCGGGAGCCTCTTTCCCTCTCCCGTCAGCACAAAAGCCTCACCCAGCCAACTGGAGTCTCATCCGCTAGTGCTGGTGCTGAGCAGGCACACCCCACCATCAGTCAGCCACGCCGGGCCACTGGGACTCCGCTCTGAACACCCCGGGTCACACCTGAACGAGTGGCTGAGGGCTGGCCGCAGAGTCAACATGCACGGTAATAACCACTGCGGGTGGATTTTGATTTATGCCCAAAACTGGAGTGGCTCACCCTCATGTTTTAAAAAAAAAACCTCAGTGAGCCCTGGCTGGCGTGGCTCAGTGGGCTGAGTGCCGGCCTGAGAACCGAAAGGTTGCTGGTTTGATCCCTGGTCAGGGCACACGCGCGGGTCGTGAGCCTGGTCCCCAGCTGGGGGCGTGCGAGAGGCAATGCTCTTGCACATTGATGCTTCTCTCCCTCTTTCTCCCTCCTTTCCCCCCTCTCTGAAAATGAGTAAGATCTTGAAAAAAATAAAAATAAAAAAACCTCGGCGAAAAGTCTGCAGGTAGAGGAATTCACAGGTGCGGAGGCGCAGAGAGCCGCGGCCTCTCTCCATGGGGCCGGACCGCCGCTTCCTGCCTCGTGCGCACACCGAACGCTAGTTTGGCCGACACCAGTACCTTCCTGCAAGGGAGTCTCAGGAAGCTAGAAAGCTCTCTTTGAGGAAAGAATCACTGGTCCAAAACCCTGAAAAGAAATCCCTAGAAGGATGTATTTTATGGTGTGTGAAATAGACCACAATTTAAAAAGAAAGAAAAATCATAAGGCTTTCAAATTCTCTGAAACGGCTCTCTCCCTGACACACTGACCATTCCTGGAATGGCGCTCAGTCTTTCCCCGGAGTGGGACTGACCCCACTCTCCACGGAAGCGGGCAGAGTGGACAAGAGCTGGAGGCAGCTTTCCAACAGTCCCACGCAGTTCTGACCTCTGTTAGGGGGAAGAACGGTATCCCCAAAACAGCCGCGGGGGATGACCTTAAACAGTTTTCACTCCACCGTTTGTGTAAATGACATAATCTATGCCAACAGATGCTGATCATTATACTTTTAAATTAAAAACTTTTTTAATTTAAAAAACTCTTCTTATTCTACTTGATTAGCATTCTAGCTCAACTTCTGTTGACCTGATGAACGAACGTCGTAACAGAGAATGGCTTTGCGGTGTCAGATGTTTGCGTGAAGCGAGGAGGCCAAACACCGCACCACAGTGGAATACAAAGCACTGCGGTGACAGTCTCTGGCTGATGATGAGCTCTAACCTTGTGCCAGACACACGGTACTAGCGTCGACAGGGGAGAGAGTATCTGTACCGTCTGTACATTTAGTTATATAACTAGTGACCACAGGAAAAGTGTGCCATTGTCCCTCTCCGGACCCCAGTTCTAGATGCTACACGAGGAACAAGCTTCGAAAAACAAAGCTGCAGAGTTTCACAACCATCACGCTCCGCTGACTTCATTTTCCATCAGGCCCATTGTAAATGCCAACGACAATGCTTAAGGTGTTGGGGAAAAAACTACTTACGAGAGAAACATACTTACAAGAGATAGCAGCAAACCGAACAGGTCACCAACATGGTGATGATAACTCTGGAAAAAAAAAGAGATGAGGTAACTCGCAAACTGTGTGGACACTGCAGGACGGTGCAAGTCCTCTTCCCAAGTGATCAAACCAGCAGGGACTGTGCCCCCAGAAAATGCCCCTGACTCTGTCCCGGCACCCACCCGCAGGCTGCAGCGCACCCTGGGGTGCATTTGGTAGGGGTCTGAGTAAATGATTACACATTTATTTGTATTTAAAGGGTTACATGGTTATGCCACAGCTTAGTGGTCTGATCCAATCCCATCTGAAACCGAACACACAAAAGCTGCAGTGACAACTAGTTCTGACACCCAAATAACTACCCATTTCATGGGTAACCACCATAAAACGACATGACACTTCCAAAAACGTGACTCTCTAGTGCTGACCTCTCCCCATCTCCGGGTAAGCCTGGGTCTCGGACCCAGTGAATGTCAACATTTCTAGAACTGGACCCATGCTAATCTCTTCCCCTCTCTCCTTCCAAAGGCTCCCCCCGGCACCTCCTGCTCCCCAGAAGCAGCTCTGCCGCTCCACCCACCCAGCCCACCCCCAAATCGGTCATCTTCTGCTCAAGCCCCCGCTGCACCCTGAGTCACGAATGCTGTGGGTAGTCCTTCGAGCACCCTTCCCTGCGTGGAGTTCTTCCCTCCCAGTCCCACCCGTAGCACCGAAATGTACCAGGTTTGCCCGGCTGACTGCCAGCAAAGTCAAAACCTCCGTCCTTCCTTTCTACGCACAATGACCCTGAACCAGTCTTCCTAAAATGCTCCCTTCACCCACCGCTCTGCAGCTCACCACCTCTCGGGGCCTCCACCATCAGTAAGGGCGGTGTCCAAGGAGACGTGTCCATGCCCTAAGCAAATATCAGAACTCCTATTTCCATTTTTAACTCCTCCTTTAGAAGTTCAGTGTGCGCATTTTCTATGGTTCATATACTGGCACGTCCATTCATTCACTCAACAGATTTCCGTTAAGTGCCCAGTACGTCCCAGGCTCTGGGGAGACGGGAGTGAAGGGAACGGATGGAAACCCCTGCCCCGGTGAAGTCTGCGGGCGGTGGCGAAGACGGTCAACGAACGAGAACAGTAAAGACACAAGGTGTGCGGGTCGATCGATCTACCGTCCGTCCGTATGCAGAGAGTCAGCCAGTGCAGATGGGAAAATACAGCAGGACAGGAGGATAAGGGTGTGCTGTGTGATGTGTGTGCACACGCACTCGTGTGCGCAAAGGTAAAGCAACTACGCACTTGTAACCATTACTGGACCTCCGTGGTGGTGTACAGCAGTTGTACCACCCTCTCCGCTCTTCTATGTCTGACAATGTTCTGCCCGTTTGAAGAAAGGAGCTGCCCGCTCCTGGCCCACCCATCCCTGCGCCTCTCTGCAGCCCCTCAGTCCGTCTACTGCCAGGAGAGCCCCTGTCAAAAACCGGAGGCTTTGAGAGATGTGTGGATCCCTAAAGAGAAATGAGGGAAATCACAAAAAACAGGGAGGGCCAGGAAAGCGGCATCCGGCACGGATTCACCCTCCTTTCTTCCAGGCACAGGGAAGAACGAGAGAGAAAGGGGCGCTGGGTTACACGAAGGTTCAGAAGTTTTCCCTTTTGCCCTTCCCTTCTCCCGGCCTCACAGGTCCTGAACACCTCATCGCCCCAAGGTCTGCCTGCGCATGTGCAGGGCTCTCGCAGGGAGGAGGAAGGAACAGCAGAGTCCTGCTTCTCCCCTTCCCCTGCAGCACCTTCACGAAGGTGCTTCACTACCTCCTCAGGGAAGGTGCTTTAATCCTTCAAATCAAAAAGGCTCTCCTGTTTGGAAAATTCACAATAGTCCTTGAGGCAATTCAGCTCCTTCATGTACTTCAAAAAAATTTTTTTTGCAGTCCTTCTGGGAGGTAAAGGGAAACTAGCACTAATGTTCCTATTTTACAATGAGGAAACGGGAATGTGGGAAAGTTAACTAACTTGTCCAAGGTCACAGGGAACACCCAGCTAGGGGCAGTGTTCCTCCAAGTGTAATACAGGAACTCCTAGGAGACACTGCGTTTTAAGACCTGCTTGATCCTGCCAAGAACAGGAAATATGAGGACCAGGGTGGAGGCTGTGGCTTAGACCTGGATAACATATCACAAGCAGGTCAAACCTGAATCGTAACACCGGGGCCAGAAGCTGAGCAGCCACCCTCCACAGGAGGCACTCGTTAGCCTGGGTGACAGCAGTGGCTGCCAGTCCCAAGGCTGCCAGGCTGGGCCCCAGATGGGGGTCTTTAAGAAAGGAGGGGGTCAGTGCTCCCAGCACCTTAATAAATGCTTAAAAAAAGGCGGACAGTAAGGTAATGAAATACTTGAAGACAGAAACACAGCAAAGAAGTACTTCATTGTTCTCTGACTCCACGATGAGAAGCAAGTCTAAGGCATTACACTGGGTTCACACAAATCGTTTCACCAGCCCCTGAATTCTGACTGTTTTGTCCATGACAGGCTGGAAAGATGGCCCTACATGACTGCTGTTTTATGGGAAGGAGGGAGGTAAGGGGGAGCTAGTGCTACCAAGTGACAGAAATTCATGCACCATTTTTCCTTTTTAAACAACTTGCATTTTATTTTTTAAACTAGTTGGAAATAACAGGTCCGATAAAAGTTTACTTCAGAGAGCAAAAGGGGTTCAGGAAATAAGAGCAATTTCTTTCTTTTACTCAAGGCAACAGAGTTGTCCACTCAACAGATATTTGCTGGATGTCTACTCTGCAGGCAAGGCGCTGTGAGGCCACCAATTAATGTCAGAATAAAAAAGGGTGTTTCTGACAATCTGTGACTTCAGTTTAAGCTTCACCCCACATGATCTTGCACTGAGAAAAAATGACTAAAAGGCAAAAGAGGAACTAAAAGGCAAAAAAAAAGGAAAAGAAAAAGTGTGCTCAAGCCCCTTTGAAGATATCTATAAAAGTTGACCTACAAAATAGATTAAGCTCTATTTAACATGGGAAAAAGTATCTTAACCTATCATTTTAAGAGCTCACCACACTCACACTCCAGGGCAGCAGCGCCCTCCAAACGGAATGACGCAGGGGTTTCTAAACAACACCTCCTGCTCCTGGGTCGTCAGCTCGCTTTAGATCGCGCCCCAGCTACCTCCGGGCGCCCACCAGACGCAAGGCCTGAGCTGTGCGTCGCTGCACGACCTGGTCCTGTGCAACTGCGACAACATGTGAAGTGCAGAGAGCAATTTCTCTTCTATTTATTCGGCCCGTTCCTTTAGGCAGATGTGGCCTCATTTGGGTGGAGAGCAAGGCTAGATCGTCTAAAGCCGAACCCCAACTTCTCCTTGGGTTGGTATAAACCCATTTCCGACTACACCGTCCCCACACAGAACGTGATAAAAAAAATGCTCCCCTAAAACTCCTTCCCAAGAATGGTCCGCCGGAGGTCACCCTCCTCGCGCTCCGGCCAGGGGTCACTGAAGCTGCTGCCTTTAGGAAATCGGGGGCTGCAGACGGGTCGGGGCCACCCCGCAAGGTCCCCGCGGTACGGGGTCGTCCCCTCCCCCTCCCCCTCCCGGCCGCTCCGCAGACGGGCCTGGCGCACTTACCCCCGGTTGGGACCCTTAGGGATGAACCAGGGGACCAGGAGGCCGACGAAGCTCCAGAATACACTCATCACGATCAAAGGCACTGTCAGGCCGTTGTACGCCATGGCTGCCAGCCCCTGTCCCACCGTCGTACTTTGGTCCCACCCGGAAGTGTCAACACCGGGCCGCGTGACCAGCGCGCGCAAGGACCCGCCTCCCGCGCCCCCACGTGACCTGCGTCTGGACCCCGCCCCTCCAAGGGCCTAGAGACAGAGCTCCGCCCCCACCTGGCGGGTCTTGGGGCTACTGCTCCTTTGAGGGACGTCACTCACCCCAGAGCCCCGGAGCTAGGGGTCAAGTCACCAGGGGCTCAGCAAAGTTTTCTGATAAGAACGAGACCCTTTAGGAAAAGACTGTAGCTATTTACAGCGTTATCTTCTTTTTATGCAGCAGCTCTTAACAATAGTAAGTTACTGTTACAAATTCCTGTATGAGTTTTCAGTTTGGAAACCTCACTATAGCCCATCGGGTAGTTTTAACTGTTACCCCCACTTTGCAGTTGAAGAAACGAGGACCCAGGGAAGAGGTTAAGGATCTTGCCCAAAGCCACAAAGCTAGTAAGGGCCAGAACCGTTAATACCCACGCCTATGGTGTGATGTTCAAAGCTGGAGCTCTTATCTGCTGCACTGTTGCATGTCTCCTGCACTGTGCCAGGGCCTGGGGTTGCAGAGACCAATCAGATCCCCCTCGGGAATTCACAGGCTGGTGAGGAGATGGGCTTGCGTGGGGCACGCAATGCAGCGTGAAGGTACAGCGGACAGTGGTGTCGGACTTTCCCCTACCCCCAGCCAGTCCGGAGCTGAGCCTTGAAAGAGGAATTAGCCAGAATAATGAAGTGAACTTGGAGTACCTACTGCTTACCAAGAATTCTCACATATGTTAATGACCGGCATGCAGCAACCTTGGAGACAACCTTGGAAAGGAAGAGTAAACCAATCCTCAGGGAGGTTAAGGAGCTTGACAAAGCTCACAGGCAGAAGGAAGGAAAGCAGATTGATCTATAATCCAAATCCAATGCTTCCCTGCAGTAGTCACACTTTCTCCCCTCCCATTACCCCTGATTTCTGTCTTCATCAGGTCAAATGGGTTCTTGAATTACACACGAAGTTGGACCGACCATCTTTAACATCAGTACCAACTCTTCAAACATGATCCCAAGCCTTGACCTGACTGACAAGGTAGGAAACTAGTCAGTCACCTTTGTGCTCATACTGCTCCCCAATAACTCAGCCTCAGCAGAAATTCCATCGTCCTCAAATTCCAGTCCAAGCCCCTCCTTCTCCAAGACCGGTTTCATTCTGTTAGTGCATCTTTCGTGGCATCGGACTTGTTTGTGTGTGTGTCTTCGCCAGCCCTCTAACCGAGGGCAAACTCCTGAGAACAGGCGCTGTTTAGCTGACCTGCGCGTATATGCAGAACGTGCTCAATGAGCACTTGCTTGTACTACGGAACGGAATGGAATAGTAAAGAAGAGGGGAGGTCAGCCAGCGCTAAAGCAGAGAGAAAAGTTTGCCCCTACTTTCTTCCCATTTCTTTTTTAAAATTTATTTTGAATTGCGGTAAAACATAGGGTACCTAAATTTTACCATCTTAACTCTTCTAAGTGTACAGTTCAGTGGTGTTTTGTACATTCGCAGCGCTGCGCGCACTGTCTGTAGAACTTTCCAGACCCACCAAGCAGCTCCCCGCTTCCCCTCCCCTAGTCCTGGCAACCACCAGCCAACCTTTCATTGCTATCCGTTTGACTACTCTAGATACCGGATGTAAGTGGAATCATACAGCATTTGTCTTTCTGTGTCTGGCTTAATACACTTAGCATAATGTCCTGCAGTTTCATCCATGTTGTAGCGCATGTCACAGGGCTGAATAATATTCTGCTTTCCGTATATACCATATTTTGTTTTCTCGTTCATCTATCAATGGATATTTGTGTCGCTTTCATTTTTTTAACGATTGTGGATTTTTTCCCGTTTCTTAAATCGATGCAAATATTTTATTTTAAGTCGATCCCATTAAGTCTTAAGTTTTGTCTTGCCTTCTTGGCAGCCTTTTGGAGAAGCAGATGCTAGGGTGCACAGGGAAGTGGCTGTTCAGGCACTAGTTCTATTTTGTCCTCTGTGAAATGAGAAAAATTCTTACTCTCAGAATCATAGTTGTGATCTAGTATTGGCCAATAGCTCCCTCTATCAGTGAATCTGTCAAAAACATTTTATCACACTGTCCAAATGAAAACTGTAGGGAAAGCCAGGAACTAGGATTCCGTGATCCACCAAAGAAAGAAATATCTGCCTGCAAGGCGCTTAAACTCTACTTCAGGGAATAAACCAGACCCCAGGCCATGGACTAAGGACCCCTGGGGAGTCCCTGAGACTCTCTCTGCCCTCCGTGAGGGCCCACCTTTCCTAACCACCAATGTGTGTGATGCTGAACTTTCTTCCTCCGCTTACCCTAAAACAGGATCTCGCTGCAGATTGAATGCAGAAGCGTGGTAGGAATCCATTGGTCAGACATCAAGACATTTTGCAACAATGTAACTCACTCTCCCTTTTCTCACTACATTCTTTTATTTTGGAAAAGAAGTAATTTTCTATAAAATGTTAGTTCTGTTAACCTGTTTTGGATTTATTACATGCTGAGATTTTATTTTAATTTCCAATATGGTAAATTATGTGATAGATAAACTCCATATACATGTAAGCTTTTGGGGTCCTCAGTGATTTTTTCCTGTGCAAACAGGGTGTTCAGCCCCAAAAGTGTGAGAACCACTCCTCCAGGAAAAGCCTCAGAGGCCACCCCTGTTGTGGGGTGAAGTTAATAAGAGCTGACTGAGCCGCTACAGTGCAACCCCCAAGGAACCCCCTTTTCCCAAGCCCAGCCCTGTGAATAAAAACTGGCACGCAGAATCACAAAGCCACGGAGCCGTAAAGCTCCTTCTAAGCTGATCTGAGGTTGGAAGTTACCGGAGAAGCCGCTGCCCTATCTGTTTGCTCAGCAGGGGTGTGTGGAACGTGGGCTGTGGGCAGCCACCAATGCGTGACGCCCGCGCGCCATTGAACTAGGTGCTTTGAGTCACCTGTCGATCTCCTGCAGCGCTCACAATACCTCACACAGAGATTAAACCCATTTTCCATGGTGGGGAAAAGAGGCTCATGTTAGCAACCTGCCCAAAGTCTGGCTGTTTTAAGTGGGAGGACTGGGGTTTGCTTGCAAGTCTTCATTCATAGCTCCTGTTTCAAAGAGGAAGTCAGCAAACCCCCTAAATTATACAGTACTAACAAAATAGAGACTTCTACTGCATAAGAGGAGACCTCTGAAAACCTGCTGTAGAATTGGGATGTGGTTGTTTGAGCTATTTCTGTTGGGCTAAGAATAGTTTATTTAAAAGATCTTATTTATTCATTTTCAGAGAGAGGTGAAGGGAGGGAGAGAGGGAAACATCGTTTGATTGGCTGCCTCTCACACGCCCCCTACTGGGGACCTGGCCGCGCAACCCAGCCAAGTGCCCTGATTGCGCATTGAGTCCGTGACCCTTTGGTTTGCAGGCGGGCCCTCAATCCACTGAGCCACACCAGCCAGGGAGAGAGTATTTTATTTAATATTTGTGCATGTTTACATGGTAATTAAGGTGTTTAAGCAATAAATCAACCTCACACCCCAGTTTCAATCTGGATGACCTGCCTTGCTCATGAAGACATCCTCATGGGTGAAACTTTCAGTCAACACCCGGTCACAGATGCAGAGACTATTTACGGAAGGACACAAAAGAGGCTGGAAACAGTGACTGCTTCGGGGGAGACCTGAGGGACAGGGAGTGAAGGTGATGGACGAGGAAGCTTACTTTTCACCGTGTACCTTTTGTACCTTTTGTACCTTTTGTACCGTCGCACCATATGTAGGTTATCACTTCCTTAAAAAAAAATACCAGTTTAGCCCTGGCTGGTGTGGCTTAACTGATTGAGCACTGGCCTGTGAACCAAAGGGTTACTGGTTGGATTCCCAGTTGGGGCACGTGCCCAGGTTGCAGACCAGGTCCCCAGTGGGGGACGCATGGGAGGCAACCACACATTGATGTTTCTCTCCCTCTCTTTCTCCCTCCCTTCCCGTATGTCTGAAAATAAATAAATAAAACATTTAAAAAATACCAGTTTAAACGAACAACGAAGAAAGACCCAGGCCACCCCCAGATGGGAACTGTTGGTCGTCTGCAGCTTCACTGGAGGCCGGTGGACTCTTGGCAAGCAGAGGTCCGTCTGGTTGTCGGAGGAGCCAATTCTTGCCTCCCCAACTTTCATGGACAGCCCCGTGGCTGAACATCCACGTGTGAGCCCGACATGCAAGCAGACCTTCAGAAGCAGTCCTCCGAAGTTTCCAAGCTGGGCGTCTTCCCAGAAATGGCCCAAGGGGACTCACTCAAGTGAACGGACAACTGCAGACCTGACGAAAAGGTCGGTAGGAAACTGCCTACTCCAGTCATCCCGGGAAACGTGCTAATGCCCAGGCGAGGCAGGCCCACCCAGCTGGCATTCCCCGGGCCCCATTTCCTGTGGCAGCCAGAACACAATACTGCCGCCCTTGACCCTCCCCTCCATGCAAGCACCGGCTTTGTCTGAACTCCCCTGAGAAAAACTTGTCCCTCTGCACCTGCAGACAAACCCACTTCCATTCTCCCCCAAAAGACAATAGCTAACATTTGCTCAACTGTGTTGTATATACAGCATCACACGTAATAAGCTCTCAAAGCTCTTATCTGTAGCAATTATATTGAATGAACGCTAAAAATAAGCCAAGTCTGACTACTAGGAAATACCATAGTTATAACGGTATCGGCGGGAGCCTAGGGCTCAGACCAGGCACAAGGAGACCATATTTTGCTGTGTATAATGCACACGTTTTTGTCCAAATTTTTTAGGGAAAAACAAGGATGCACATTATACATGGGTAGTACCTGAAATACCTTCTACTTGTTCTTGTATTTTGTAACTGATATATATAATTTCTTTTTATATATATATATAATTTCTGGTACTATAATGTTAAAAAACAAATGCTGAAATTCTTTTATACTACAAAAAACAAGTATCTAAATGAAAGGAAGGAAGGAAGGAAGGAAGGAAGGAGAGAGGAAAGAAAGAA